GGCAGCTCTGCCCTTACCTCCAAGGGGGATTTTGTACAGGGCAATTCTGACAGTGCTATGTGGGATGGAGGAAGAAAAGGTTCCAGGAGGATTTGGGGTGAGCAGATAAAGCTTAAAAAGATGGGACAAGTAGTTTCAGCATAAACAGCTCTGTGCAGGTTTATGTGTACAGCAGAGTCTGTCCCCAGCTGGCAGGTGGGAAATGCTGTCACTCTGGAGCTCATTCCTGCAGGTTTATTGCAGTAGGAGAAACGGGGCAGGTCCATCAGCTCCAATGGATACCTGGGTGCCCCATGGCACCTCCATCACCTCTGCCCCAGGGTCTCACAGCTACCAGGCAGGAGCTCCTGTATTTTGGGAGCTTCCACCTCCTGTATTTGTCTCCAGACCTCCCCATGACCCAGCCACAGCCCCAGGGCTGGTTCCAGGCCCCAATATCCCTCCAGGGCTGGAGCAGGCACTCCCAATCCACCATTCAGGTGTGAGAACACACTGTCCCCTCCAGCACCCAGTGATGCCACCAGTGCATTTCCCCCACCAGCTGCTCTGGGTGCTGCTTTAAAGACATTTGGGTGTCGCAACCAGGCCAGAGAAAGGAGCCTTCTCCCTGTGAGGGCAGAGGGCTCCCTGTGCCCTCCACCCCATTTTTCTCTGCCCCGTTTTCCAGGAGGGGTGGGGAACCCGTCACCCACGCACAGGGCTGGCAGGAAGGGAGTCATTCCCGAGGAACATTGCTTCTAAACCACTCCAATATGGCAAGGCAATGTTAACCAGCTGGGAAAGCTCTTTAAAGACCCTTAATTAAAGGCTGGCTGTTGCACAAGCCCCTTTCCCATCCCCACCAGAAGCCTTTCCCAGCTTCCTGCCCTCCATCCCTCACACTTTCTTTCCCACTGGCAGCGTGCTGCGGGGTGTCCTCCAGCAATCAGCCCCTGCCGTCACATGGAAGTTTGAACTCACAGCAAAAGGGGGAAAAAGGGGAAAACTCCCTCCCTGTTGCCCTTCAGGCATAGCTGGAGCAGCAGCTACCTGCATGGATGGCAGTGGTGGGGCCGAGCTGGCACGGCTGTGCCAGCCTGGCAATGGGAGCATCAGTTTAATCATCTGCACCAGCACTCACCAGCCACGGGAAACTGGGAGAAACGAGGCTGGACCAGCCCCTCCAGCACTATTTCTCCCCTCTAACACTGTCCCTCATGTAATGAGCTGTGGTATCCCTCAGTGCTCCACCACTCACCAGCCCCAAAGGCTCCAGCCACCCCCCTGCTCCTGCCTGCTCCGTGTGTCCATGACCCCTGGAAAAGGAGCAGCAGCAGCACTACCCCATCCCACATATCTCCCTCTACCCAACACCAACGGGGGCTACAAGATTAGGGCCTGGGGCTCATCTCCTGCCAGGGGAGTGTGGCCAGAAAGGTATCAATTTATTCTTCCTGACGATATAAATTAGTTCAACAAGGCAACATATTACTGTTTCTAATCAAAGAAAAAACTTGGCATTCTCTCATGACGGCTGAGCACAACCACACTGCTCCATCCCAAACACCACACTGGCCCTGCAGCCCCCAAAAACAGCAGGAAGGATGCCCCACACCCCTGGCAGTGCCCCCCCCCTTACCAGGCAGTGCCAGCTCCTGCTCCCTGAGCCAGGATAACCTCTGCACCCTCCAGAGCTTCACAATCCCCCCAGGATCCACCTCCCTCCCAGCTTTTACAGCCCCCAGGTGCCCCATGGCCCCGGCAGCACGAGCCTCACCTGGGGACTGTGGGGTGGGATGGATGCAGCCATACAGGGAGCAGGGAATGGGGACAGAGGGGCACTTTGAGGGAAGAGCATGGCTTTCCCTGTTGCAGGTTATAAACATTCCCAGAGCACATCAAGATGAAATGTGTAATTACAAATCAGCCCTGCTGCTCCTCATCTCCAGACCCACGCAAAAGCAGGGAAGTTTTAACTTCTTCCTTGTGGAGCTTTTTTTTTTTCCTGCCTATTTTTGTTCTTTCCCTTCTGTCCTCCTAAATTCGGTATGAAAGGAAAAGGAGTAAATAAAAATTTTGGAAAGCTCTTTCAGCCCTGCTCTTCCTGGCTTATGGAGCAGTTGGAACGGAGGGGGAGGCCCAGAGCACAGGAACCACAACACTTTGGATAGCTGGATTTTCAAAACAAAAATGGGGTTAGAAATGGAAACTTTGGTTAACTGAGACGGGGATGAAAGCTTCATTTCATACTTGGCTGCAAAGCTGGATCTCCATCACCCTCTTGCTCTGACATTTCCCCCATTTAACCTGGTGCTCCAGAGGCATTTTTCCAGCTCCATGAGCACAGGGGGTCTTGCCATCAACCTCTGAGCAAGCACAGTGGGGACATCACTGCCCAGACTCTCTTCTGCCCCAGGAAACAGCACAGCTCAGCATCACCTTGTTACAACTTTATTTCCAGAGGTTTAGAGCAGGAAGATCCAGGGGGTTGAATGGGATGACCTTTAAGTTCCCTTCTGACCCAAACCATTCCGGAATTCTGTGACCCTGGGGAATGAAGCATCCCAGTGGAGAACACTGACTCCTTGAAACCCCCGTGACACTGGGTGGACCCACACCAAGGACAGCATGAGTGGGACATGGGTGTTGTGACCAGCCTGCGCTGAACCACTTTGGACACACATTGCTCTGCTGGAGCTCTTGAAAGCAACAGAAATGCCCCAAAACTGAGGTGGACACAAGCCTGAGGTGGACACAAGCCTGTGCTTGGCTCTTTGGAGCCGGGAGATTTCATCCCCTTCCTGCCAAAGCTGCTTTTATTGTCTTGATCTAATGAAGTGCAGACTTCACCTGGACAGACCCATAAGTGGCTCCTCTCGGAGGCAATGAATAAAAATACTTGACCTCATGAGCTGCGGGGCAGCAATTAGTTTAAGCAGGGGGTTTGTGTAACACTTCAAAAGTCTTAATCCGTGCGGTCAGCCCTGGCACGGTATTTGCCAGAACCTATTGAGTAGTCTTAATGAGTCTGCAAAGCAAGCTTTCAATACATTTTGGGTCGCTTCAGATGCTTTAAATGGCATAGTCTATATGGTATTGTGCGGCTTTAGAAAGGGCCGGGCTTTAAAAAAGTATGGCTCCCTTTCACAGGGCAGACAGAAACCATCTTTCGAGCCGGGACCCTTAACGTTTTGCATATCAATATGGCTGGGGCTGAATGCAGTCACTGAGCTGAGAAATAGGATCACTATCAGCGTTTCCAGGCTTTCACAGGCACTTGGGAAACTTTAAAGCCCTTGGCGGAGAATAATTTGGTCGAATGTCGTGGCTGGAAACAAAACCTAAACAAGCAGAGCGCAGTCCATCACGGGGAGCTGCCAGCGCGGCTGACAAGGGGCTCCAGCCGCTCCGACATCCCACCCCCGGCGGGGCGGGGGCCGCGCCACCGCCGTCCTGGGGGGACACGGCCAGGGGTCCCTGCACTGGCCACGGGTGCTGAGCCCACCCCAGCATCGCTCAGAGGGCTCTGGGCCTTCAACCAGCACAAAAACAGTCCTGGCTCCATCTCTTCCTGCTGCTCTCTGACGATATCCCAGTTTACGCCGGTCATAAAGCCCCCCCAGGCTCTGGCACAACACTGGTGGCATCTGCATTGGTCCCTGGTGCCCCTGACACCTCTAGGGATTGTCACCACCATGCCCCATTCCCCACAAACAGGCCACTGTTTGCATTTAACTCTGACATTCCATTAAGCCCATCCCTGCACGTGTCACTCATCCTGGGGTTGAACAGGAACATGTTCGACCTCAGCTCCAGCCCGGAGCATTGGGACAGAAAATACCATCACCTCCATGGGCACAACGGAGGTGCCAGCTGGGAAATGGGAGCTGTGAGGAATAGAACACTATGTGTGGGTGTAACTCCACCCTGGAGGTGGGAAGAAAGGGGCTGGGGGTGGTTGTGCATCCCAGGAGAAGCGGGACCTGCTGCCTCCATCACCCCGGGCAGCAGCAGCGAGGAGGGGAGGCACCTTGGCAGGATGGGCAGCTTTGGGATGCTGCACGATGGAAGGAGCCAGAGCCAAAGCATATTTGCAAACAATGCAGGGCCTGAAGGCCCTTCAAAACACATAATTAGCTCATTAAAGAGACAAATACAAGTCACTAATAAGATATTAGAGGTTAATTAAATGTTTTCCCCATCTTTAATTAAGGGAAAACTAGTTAGTACAGATTCAACTAATTTCTGCAGCCTCCTGTGATGACCCTCAATGGCTGCAGATTTAGAAATCTATTGAGATTATTGATCTGATAGGGCAGAGTTTGGGGATTTTGTCTGCTCTGCTTGGGAATTAGGGGAAAGCAGGAATTTTCATCCTACGGGTCAGAAATGCTCTGCTCTCTCTGCTGCGTTACTCAAGGGACATAGGAAAGGATGTGATACACAACTCCCTCTCCCTAACCCGGACCAGGCATTTATTCAAAACTACTGCTGTTAATTGTTTTCTTAACTAGGCAGTTCCTACAGACCATATTCCATCTGCAAAACACCTCTCGTGCTCAGGGGCTGCTGCTCGAGGGCCTCACCCACCACCCCTGGGCCCTCAGTGCCTGTGTCAGCACTGGAATTTGGTTTAGCAAAATCCCACTGGTCGCCCAGCCCAGAGTCCAGCTGGTTTCCAAAGGTTTTATTATGGATGGTGGATCCACCATCCACCCACACACACACACAGAGCCCCATCCACACACCCACACGTCCCCCTCGCCACCCGAACAGTCCCGGTCAATACAGATCAGCAAGATTTATATGGAAGAATATTTAATCTGGTCAGGGCGGGGAGAGGGGCCATCTGTGGTTTTATTTCTTAAATATTTCTCTCTACTCCAGAAAAGTCCATTTCTTGCCAGAAAAGGTCCGATATAAATTAGAACGAAGGGAGGAGGTTGCTGGTGGGGTGGCCACGAGCATCCCTGGACCACGATGACCACGAGCATCCCTGGACCACGATGACCACGAGCATCTCTGGGCAACGACCATGAGCATTCCTGGATTGTGGCAGCCACGAGCATCCCTGGACCACAATGACCACGAGCATCCCTGGACCCCGGCAGCCCGGAGCATCCCTGGATTGCAGTCCTGGCTCCAAACAGTGCTGAGCAGAGCAGATCCCAGCGTGGTGGAGTGCCCCAGGGGTGGCTCAGTCCCACCCAAAGTCCTGCCCTGTCATCTGGTAGAACTTCATGTTGAAGGGTCTGTAGAACTCGCGCAGGCGCTGCACCACCTGCGGGTCGATCCTGGGGTGGGGCCGCCCCTTGGACTTGCCCAGGCAGCGGGGTTTGCTGCCCTCGGGCTTCTTCAGGCAGGGGAAGCCCTTGGTCTCATTGAAGTAGAAATGTTTGTCCGTCACCACCCTCTGCAGGCCCAGGAAGTCCTGGACACGGCCCATCTCCCCCGCCGGGTCGCTGACGAGCCTCTCCCCGCTGACGAAGAGGAATTTGGAGAGGGGGAAGTACTGCAGCCAGTTGTCCAGGTGCTTGGCGTAGATCCCGATCCTCACCGCGCTCCAGCTCGTGTCAATCAGTCCCGTGCTGGCGTTTTTGAAGGCCAGGGCCTGGAAGGAGGGGATGGAGGGGTTTTTGGAGAGGGTCTGTGTGTAGTCCGAGATGGCCCTGGTGACGGGGTTCCGAACCACCACGATCAGCTTCGTGTCCCGGGACATGTTGTAGATGCGCCGAGGGGCCTCCTTGGTGACAAAGTAGCTGGGGGTCTTCTCCATGGTGATCTGCCCCTCCAGAGTCCTTGGCATCAGGCTCCTGGGGAGACAGAGGGGCACGATCAGGGCTCAAAGCACAGCTGCTCCGACCTGATGCCACGATGAGAAGGAACAAGCCCCAAAACCTGCCCAGAAATGCTCAGGGGCCTCCCAACAACAACCCCCTCTCTCTTTCCTCTGTCCTGCCAGCCAGGGACACCACCTTGTCACACCCCACTGGTCACCTCCTCATCTTCAAACTCCTTCCCAGGAGTCCTCATGTCCTGGTCTCTCCATTCTGCTCACCCCGGCTCAGTGTCCCCTTTGTCCCCTCCAGAGTCTGTCCCTGGGAAGGGACTCCCTGTCACTCTGCCCCACCAGCAGCACATCCAGGCTGTTGGTCCCTCTTGGAGGTTCCCCACAACCCCCTTCCCAATCCAAAAATCCCTTCCCAGGACACTCCAGGACCCGCTACACACGTTTTGGGGCGGGACTGGTTTTCCTCCCCAGCCTCCAGGCAAATTTCATGTCCTGGAGATGCTGACCCACCAAGTGGGACTGGAAAGAACAAAATCCCATCACAGGGGTGATGCCCAAGCAGTAGCTGGGGATGGAGATGCCCCCAGGGCTCCCTCCTCCTCTGCCCCCAGCCAGCGAGCAGTTAAGGCCAGAAAAATACAGTTGCCTTCTAAAAAGAAAGGCAGGAAATCTCAGAGGGCCCAGCCATTGTGCTGGGGGAAATTCACTGCCCTGATTGTTCCCTCGTGCACTTTAATGAGGCATTAATTACCAGAGAAATTACCCAGCCATGTCACCCTGTGTGACAGAACGGGTCCCCCCTGCCACCAGCACAGGCACCTGCCCCAGAGCTCTTCACATCCCCCTCTTCCACTTCCAAGAAAAATCACAGAATTCTGGAATGCTTTGGGGAGGGACCTTAAAGACCATCCAGTGCCACCCCCTGCCACGGGCAGGGACACCTTCCACTAGCCCAGATTGCTCCAAGCCCCATCCGACCTGGCCTTGGACACTTGCAGGGATGGGGCAGCCACAGCTTCTCTGGGATCCCCATCCCACTGCTCGGAGGGTTGTGCCCAGCAGGGAGCTGGGTCCCCACAGCAGTTGGGGACAGGGACAGGCCATGCAGCAGCCAAGGCTGTGCTGGGGGGAAGTCAGGGCTCTGCCCAGCAGCATCTGTTCCTTATGTAATGGGAAAAGCTTGAGGTTTCTGGGATTTTTTCCCCTGGACTCAGGAAAGAACACTTGATTAAAAGCACTTGTGAGTGATGCTGGGCCCCGCACAGCTCCCTCCCCCAGACAAGAGGCAAAAGCCACTTGTGGCTTTCCCCCCCCTTTTATTTTGTAAATTTTTGCACAGTGCCAGTTTTTAGAGCCATTTCTTGTTCCCGGTGTCCTCTCCTGGCAGCACTCCATTGGCATCAGTGGGACGCCCTTCCAGAGGTCCCTAAATCCTGGGGCAGCCGTGGGTCCCCATCCTTTCCAGCAGCTTTTCCCCATCACCCCAACTAGCAGCACTTACCAGAGAGGCTGACTGACAGAGTTCCTGCTGGGAAGTACCTTCCCAAACCAGGATCAGACCCTCACACCCACACCTGTCCCCTCCCTGCTGTGCCCATAACCAAGGAAAACCCAACGGCACAGCCCCGGACCCACCGGGAGCACACCTCCACCCTGCCTGGGAGCACACCTCCTCCCTGCCTGGGAGCACACCTCCTCCCTGCTGCCTGGCTCCCCTGCCAGCCAAGCATCCTCAGTCACATTCAGAAAGTGCCACAGGGTTTTCCAAGCTGCTTCCTGCAGCTTCTCCGGGCAACTTGCTGAGGCATCTCTGCAGCGCTTCCCCGGAGGCCACTGGGATTTCTGCACAGCACAACAGCTCCTTCCTCCTGCTCACCCACCCCAAACCCTCACAGCAAACATGGGCTTAGGACCTAAGCCAGTCCCTCTCCTCAGTGGGCAATAAAATGTTTATTATCAGCAGCAAACACTTGGGATGACGTGATGGGACATCCTGGAGAGTCCACACTAAGCCACAGCAGCGCTTTCCTCAGCCTGTGCTCCAAACCCTCCACCTTCCACTAGCCCAGGTTGCTCCAAGCCCCGTCCAACCTGGCCTTGAACACTTCCAGGGATAGGGCAGCCACAGCTGGAAAGCCTCTCTTACCCCCCTCTTCCTTCTTGCAGAGGGACAACAAGGGTCAAGCTGATCCCACAGTGCCAAGGCCATCCCTAAGGGGCCTGTGGGGCAGAGGGACCCCCAGAACCCCCCAGGATCCCACTCACCCACACCCAGCAGTACCAGCACCTTCCCTGTCCCCATCCTGCTGACCCAGGGCTCCTCAGCTCCCAGGAGCTGCACCTACTTTAATTAACACCAACCACACCATCCAAGGCTTAATCACCATGTAATTAACAGAGAATATTTAATAAAAACCCACATCAGGGCAGCTCTGTTTGCACAGGCACCCCCAGAGCTGTGGCCCCTGTGCCTGTGCTGGGGTGCAGAGACCTTCACCCCCCAAACTGCCCCCCAGCAGGGACAGTTGGGTCCCAACATCCCAGGATCCTGTCGGGAACAGTGGCCTCCAAGCACTTAATTGTGCAGCACCTCCTCTTCCTGAGCAGCTCAATCACCCCCAGCTACTTGGGAGATAATTACGCAATTTCACATTATCATTAACTCCCTAATACTTTCCCCTAAATTACCCCAGTTAATTATTGATAACCCCGCTCTCCCTCCAGATCTGGCTTAAACTGGCAAAGAGCAGAGCAGGCTTTGTTATGCCCCACTTTAATGCAAACATTGGAAACTTTAATTAAATTTGCAGTTAATTCTTATTGACCTTAAGAGAACACCAGGCAGTGCCTACAGGTACATGACACTGCAGAGGGGGAGCCCCAGGCAGCCTTGGAAGGAGTTGGGATTTCAAGAGGAGACTGTGCCCAGGAGGAGAGATACAACCCTTTTAACCTTTCTATTAAGCTGATAAATTGTGATTTTTAATTGATAAAACAACTGGCATTTGAGAGGCATCAGAGATGGGATTTCCTACACGGAGATATTCAACATGTGAAATGTTTCCTCTGCTGAGGTAACATGCAGGAAGTTACAGCAGATAAAATGATGATAAAAATGCAGAAATGCATTAAATACTGATTAACAGCCGTGGCAGGCAGGGAATCAAAGCAGACTTCAAAAACTGGGCCGACATAACTTTCCAGAGTTAATTGGTTTGTGATTCCTCAACTCTGGGACGATTTTGTTGCAGAGGAAGGAGAACTCCCAGCACGGAGCTGAGAGCCCAAGGGATGCACCCTCAGGAGCTCAACCTCACTGATAAATAACCCTGCAGCCCAAAGCATCCCTGAGTTATCACCCAGGGCAGCTTCATAGGGAAAATTAACTCTATCCCAGCCAAAACCAGGAGAGCAGGACAGGCCCTGCCTACAATTCATCCCCACTGAAAGGCCAGGCAGAACCTCAGCAGGGATACAGGTCCAGCCTGTGCTGGGAGCACGATGGGAAACCCCAAACCCCAGATCAACCCCAGGGGTGATGTGGGCCATCACATCAGGGGGATGGGTACTGCGGGCTCAGGGCTTACAGGTTCTATATTACCACCAGAAAGAGATAAAGGGGCAAAAAACCCCTCTTCTCTATTATTATTTTAAGAAAAATGAGCATTGACCAAAAAGCCCAGACAAAAGGAGTGAAAGGAGGGGATTTCTCCCGGGTGGGACATGGTTGAGAGCTTTCTGCAGGGCAAAGAAAGTGACTCTTTCAAGGCACTAAGATGGGCCATGGGACGACGTGGGGGACAAACCCCCGGGCAGGGGACACCCCACGCTTCCAGGGGACCCCCTCCCTCCCAGGCAGGGTGACAGGGGCTCTGTGGGGGACAGAACCGTTTTTGTGTAAATGTAAAACAGTTTGGAACCGGGAGAGGGGGGACAAGGCTCGGGACAGATTTATCCTCTCCCAGCAGACACCCGGTACCACCCGGATCTGCATATGAATCACCCCCAGGCTTATCTCAGCCCCAGGGACAAGGCTGCCTTTGTGGCCCCACGGCAGCTATGAAGTTGTTAAACTGGAACCAGTTATGGAAACTCGGAGATATCGGCCTCTTCCTTCCAGGCAGCTCCAATAGCAGCACCTTTGCTGGGAAGAAAGGTGTGAGAGAGCAGGGAGGGGGATCGGATGTCGGGAGGGACAGATCCAGCCCCAGATCCCTGCTCCCGGCTGCTGGGGGACATCCCAGACCCCCCATTCCCCAAAAATAGCGGGGCTATGTGTGGGCAGCTTTGCTTACCCCCACCCCGGGCCACTCCATGACCTTCTCTTCCCAGAGGATGCTCCGGGGCATCTGTTGAACCTCTGCAGAGCTTGGAGGGCTGAACTGGGAAGGATGTACTGGGAAGGATGCACTGGGAGGGCTGAACTGGGAAGGCTGCGCTGGGAAGGCTGCGCTGGGAAGGATGCACTCACCAAGCCGCCCGGGAGCAAATTAGCCCACGTTCCTTTCTCCTCCTCATTACTGTGATATTCCCCCTCTCCTCCGAAGGGGCAGCGGGTCCTGCCAGTGCCCCCCAGCCCGCGGAGCCCCCCCGGCGTTCCCCATCCCCGAGCCGCCTCCATTATTTTTTGATTCTTTCACCAATTCAAAAATGTGCAAATGAGGCCGCGGCTTCCCAATCAGGCCTGGCCGGGAGCTAATTGGCTTTAAGCAGGGAAACCTGAATATGCTAATGACGGCAGTAACAAGCCCGTGATGCGCCTGGAAGGGGAGCCAAGCCCTGGGCTCCACCACGGGCTGACTGAGACACGTCAATTAACAACAAGGAAGATAATTTATTAATGCTCCTTTGCACCCCCCTGCCCTTTGCTCCTAATTACAGTTTGATACATGAAACACCGCGGAGGTTTGCCGGGTCCTGCTCCCAGCTGGAGCATCCCCGGGCAGCCCCCAGAGCCTCCTCCTGCCCCCCAGAAGCCCCTATCCCCATTAAGCCATAGCCCAGGACCACGACCGGGGGGTC